TAGTGAATATTGATCTCGTACACTATAACCCAGCTAGCCTGACCAATGGGGGGACGGGGGAAATCCAATCCACCGAGCCAGAATTTCCAGCTAAGTGTAATTGCGATGGTGGTACTGGCATTTCCTGACATTTTTCAGTTGCCAAAAAAGACCAGTGAATGCGAGTGCTAGCATTGTAATTGTTTGAATCCCCCGAGCAGAGGATAGTGAATAAGCTGTCTTCTGCTCATGGGATTCAAAATGAGTCAAAGGCACTATTCCTGCCCGGCCATTGAAAGCCAGCTGCACTGTGAGGAGGGGTCATGCAGGAAGAGATCGGGAGTTAATATGTGGCCTGCGGAAATTTTATACTCGCAGAATTATTTTTTATTAAATTTTGTTTCGGGCCCTTTCTAGCTAGGTACAAATTCCAGATACTTGTCAAGCACTTTCAGTGAAAGACGCCATATCAAAGGTAAGGATTATTTCACCTGGATTTGTTGAACTCTCCCTTGCTGGGATGCTCAATTTCCAAAATCTCCTGGTGAAAGACAGATTTACTGTAATCCTCCAAAGTATGCTTTTGTCAATCTGAGCAAATTTATGGAAGTTCACATCCAAAACATTCACCTATGACCTATCGTTCTCTTTCAGATGTTGATGGACCTGCTGTTAGTCATTTCCAGCATTCCTGTTTGTGTTTGAGAAAGCCTTGAGCTGTGCCTCTTGATGTGTGACGAGTCTGACAGTGTTAACTGATGCCTGGAAGTTTACAAAGTTAAATAGGAATGTACAGGGATGGGAACGACTATTGGGATCCCATTCGACTGGTCCCACTGTAAAAACAAACAAATAAATAAGTAATGTTTGTTCCACGTATCCACTCTTGTGAGAATAATATTCTTTGAAACTGAAGTGCTGCCAGAGACATTTTAAACTTTAAACCTACTTTAATGTCTTTCATGTTAAGTAGCCTTCTTACAGGCAAAAATGTACAGTCAATTCACTTTACAGTATATTCTGTGAAGCAGTTTGAGATGTCTAGAAGATGTGAAAAGCATTCTATCAAATGCAAGGATTATTATTATTATTGTTTTTATTACCTTCCCCACTTATAATCTGTATTTTAAAGAGTACCATTGATGCCCTCAGACAGCACAAACATAGAAGAACGTTTCTCCCCCTTGTGGGCATATGAAACCAATTGGAGCTTGTGACAGCTGAAATCACATTTGGCTAATTCTGTTTTTCTCCCGAAGTCCAGTAAGATCATAACTGCATTTGCAAAGTTAAGTCAGTATCCGGTGACGCGGAACTCTCTAATGCTTCCCTGCACCTTGTCCTCCTCCTTTGCCCATCTTCAGATCACACCTGATGATCTTCCTCTTCGACCATGCCTTCGGTCACCTACCACTCTCTCCCTGGCTTGGTCTCAAGTTTCACCACGGTCAGACTTTCGAGACACAAATTGTTGTTGTTGCTTCAGTCAGCATCAGCAGTGGCAGCTGCTGAACTCTCCAGGTCTGCTCTTCAGCTACAACCATTGTGCTGATGTAATGGGGGGGCGTGAAAGTTTGATCCCCTTGGCCAGTCGATAATTATCCATTGACTGGACTGGAATTTTGGTCCAATTTTACATTGGGTGTTGCATTCTTCACTTCATTGTTGCTGAAGGTTTCCCACATTATTTAATGTGACCCAAAGGATTGCTTAGCGACATTGGCCCATGTGGACTCCCGTGGCCTGTGCAGGCCCAGTAGGTGTTGAGGAACAAGTCACAAAATTAAAGCAGTAAAGCTTTGTCTGCAATGTGTGTCAGTGCAGTTCAATTAGTAGGACACTCGCTTGCTGAGTCAGAAGGACACCAGAACCTGAGCTCCTAATCCTGTGTGGTTCTATTAGCTACCTGTTGTCAGATGCAATTTTATTACATAACTTGCATGCAGTGAAAATGAACATCACAGAGATACTTTTAGCCATGGTTTTTAGTACATCTTATTGTCATTTCTATGCTGCACAGTGCCATTTGTCTCACAAAAAACACTTTTTACCATTGCCCTTTATTCTGCCGCTTGCTGCTTGCAACACAACCAGCACATCATCCCAAATGGGATGAAGAAGTTTATACAGCGAAGGATAATAATAATTGATTTGATATAGTGCCTTATCATATCATCAAGTCATCTCAAAGTGCTTTACAGGATATACTGTAAAGTGATGTGACCGTGTGTATTTTGTGGCTGAATGCGGCAGCCAATTTGTACACAGCAATGTCCCATAAGCAACCATGGAGTGAATGACCAATTTTATTTGGGGGATTTTTAACCGAGACACCGGGAGAAACTCCCTCCTCTTTTCGAATAGCACTGTGGGATTTTTAACCGCATCTGTACAGGCAGACGGGACCTCAAGTTAACCTCTTATCTGAAGGACGGAACCTCCAACCATGCACCACACCCCCAGTGCTGCATTGGAGTGTCAACTTAGACAATATTTCCCAACGTGGTGCTTGAACCCACAATCTTCTGATTCAGAAGGACGAGTGCCTCCAACTGAGCCAGACTGACACATAAATCAGGCCAACTCATTTCAGGATGCAGCATTCCAGTGCCAAATTTCTTGATGAAAATTACACAGTTTTTTTTTAACCATAGAAAATGAAAATGTGGTTTGGGTGATGTAGATTCAAATACTCCCCTGCACAAAAAGGGGCAGAAGGATAAACCTGAGAACTACAGGCCAATCAGCCTAACATCAGTAGTAGGGAAACTTCTGGAGACTATAATCCGGGACAATATAAATTCTCACTTAGAAAAATATGGTTTAATAAAGGACAGTCAACACGGATTTGTTAAAGGCAGATCGTGTCTGACAAACCTAATAGAATTTTTTGATGAAGTGACTGAGAGGGTGCATGAAGGTAGTGCAGTAGATGTAGTTTATCTAGATTTTCAAAAGACATTTTGAAATAGAAACAAAATAGAACAAAATATAAACAAAACAGAAGCCCATGATATTAAAGGGACTGTGGCAACATGGGTCCAGAACTGGCTAGGAGACAGAAAGCACAGAGTGGTAGTAAACAGTTGCTTTTCTGACTGAAGGAAGGTGTGTAGTGGTATCCTTCAGGGGTCGGTATTGGGACCACTGCTCTTCCTGATCTATATTAATGATCTGGACCTGGATATAGGGAGCACAATTGCCAAATTTGCAGATGATACTAAGTTAGGAAAAGTAGTTAATGGTGAGCAGGATAGCACCAGACTCCAAGAGGACTTACAGATTGGTAAAATGGGCAGAAACGTGGCAGATGAGGTTTAATGTGGAGAAATGCGAAGTGTTGCCTTTTGGTAGGAAGAATGAGGAGAGGCAATATAAGCTAAATGGTGCAATCTTGAAGGGGCCAAATGAACAGAGAGACCTGAGGATCCACATAAGCAAATCTCTGACGGTGGCAGGACAGGTAGATAAAGCTGTTAAAAAAGCATATGGGATACTAGGTTTTATAAATAGGGGCATAGAATTCAAACGTCAGGAGATCATGTTGAATATTTATAAAATGCTGGTTAGGCCTCAGTTAGAGTACTGCATTCAGTTCTGGGCACCGCACTTCAGGAAAGATGTTAGGGCATTGGAGAGGGTGCGAAGGAGGTTTACCATGATGGTACCAGGAATGAAAGACCTTAGTTATGAGGAGAGGTTAGCGAAACTAGGATTATTCTCCCTAGAGCAGAGAAGATTAAGAGGGGATTTAATAGAGGTTTTCAAGATCATGAGAGGATTTGATAGGTTGAATCTGTTTACACTGGCATGTGGGTCAGTAACTGGAGGACACTGATTTAAGATAGTTGCTAAAAGAAACTGAGAGGTTACGAAAAAAATTTCACTCAGCGAGTTGTTCGGATCTGGAATGCATTACCTGAAAGGGTAGTGGAAGCCAAATCAATAATAACTTTTAAGAGAGAAGTAGATGGGTATTTGGGAAGAACAAGATTTCAGGGCTATGTAGAGAAAGTGGGTCAGTGGGATTGAGTTGGATTGCTCTTTTTGGAGCAGGAGCAGACACGATGGGCCGAATGGCCTCTTTCTGTGCTGTATGAGTCTATGAAATCCAAGATTAACTTGGTGAGATTTGAATTTGTTTTGGTCAGTCAGGTCTCTTGACACTTGCGGAATACCATCACCATGCCTTAAAGTATCCAAACAAGACTGAGAGATCCACAGATGTATAGATATTTCCCTGTGTCTGGAACAAAGTGCGACTGGAAAAGAGAGATGTAAATGTAATGAAGGTAAGAAAGATTGGCGCTTCTAAGTTCCAAGAGAACATTTTAGAAACATTAAAACTTCTTCAAGTGCCTCACAGTAATTACTGTCATGGTGTAGTGACTGTTTTGTCGGCAAATCGAATAGTCCCACAAACCATTTGACATATCATGTATCAGGCACCAGACTGTAGATCTCCCTGGTAAATCAGCCGAAGTGGCTCATCAAGGTACTGCAGAGGCACAGCACAATGACACAACAGAATGCAGAGAGTCGCATGCAATTGTATATAAGATGAGCAAGTCTCTAATCTTAATCAGGTCTGTCTCAGTGAGGTAGTTAAACTGTATGGCTTCAGTAAGGCCAGCTCTTGCACTCCAACCTGTGGCTGAATACACTGGTAGAGACTTCCAAACCGTTCATCTGCAAAACACTTGGGAGGGTGGAAAAGAGAAGGAAAATAGCTTTCAAAAGGTTAAAAAAATTAGACCGTGGTTAATTAAGTTACATGTCACAACACTCATTTATGAATTGCATCTGCCTTATGGCTTGAGGGCCATTTTATTTTACTGAAAGCAATAGTTTGTTGTTTCATGCCTTTAAGAAATGCTCTGTACTTGAATGATAGTTAATGTGGCAATGCAGCCAACCTGAATGCAAACGCAGAAATCTTTAAGCTATGGCATGATCTGGACATACTCTTACAACTATTTCTCAGAGGCAAGGTGGGATTCAAGAATAAGTCACACCCAGGAGCAGGTTAAAAAGAGCATTTATTTGCTGTCAAATATGATATTTTCTTCTTTTTTTCATCTTTCTTTGCCTTTTACATTTTTTTTTCAAATACCTGGCCGCCAAAAAAAAAGTACAGAAACACCAACGTTTGCGCGATTGAAAATCACCCGCAGTTTTTATCAAATTTGGTTCATTGAGGGTTTTTTTTTCAGTCAGAATACCCGTCACATGCTGAAAAGGCTACGCATTTGGCAAACCACAAATAAATTAAACAGAAAATAAACACAAATGTCATTACCACTTGACAAAAATGTAACAGCTCTTGACACAGAACAAATGATAGCGACATTCTTTTAGAAAACTTGAAAACTACCAACCACAGAGTCCTTAAACATGCAGATACAGAAAGAATTGAAACATCTGAATCATTAAGACATGTTATGTAACGCAGGATTTTTTTCATTTAACATCTCTGCAGCATCTTAAAGCTACTCCGCTACAATCTATCATGAGCATGTTGCTTTCCCTTTACTCTGACAAACATCTGATGTACAATTCTACTATTAACCCTGACATTTATTTACCACATAGGCACATTAACCCTGTGAGATTGTGGTTTGAAAGACAGCAGTGATCACTGTGAGAGACAGTTTTCATAAATAATGCACAATGATGTCAATCAATACTAAGCAATGCTGGAACACGTTCCCTAACCCTCCCACCCCACACTCCCCCTCCCTACTTTCATCTCACTGGATTTCAAATGAGAACAGTTTGCTTTCAGTGATCGATGAGCAGCTACACGACATGTAGAACTTCTAATTTTAGCCACGATAGAGCACAGCTCCACAGAAATTACAATCTTCAAGTTGCATTGACCTGTGAAAAACAGCACAGCAAAATGTCAACCACTACTTGTCACCCTGGGTGTTAAATATTAACTGCTTCACTTCGAGTTGAAATGAGTGGCGAGGCAAATGCAAGGTCTATCTGATCTGTTTACCACCAGCATGGAGAGAAGCAGTAGGATGGGAAAATGATGCAAACACAATGCAGTACAGCCGAATTCAGGTGAACTCAATCCGTCGTCGAAACAAGTCTTCCATTCCCCTCCCCTCCCACCCCAACCCATCACAAAAAAGAAATCCCTTTAGGCGATTATCCGTAAACATCTCCGTTCATAAATAACTTAAATGTCTCCTTTGTGTCACCATGTCTAACTGAAGCTTAAATAGAAAGAATGGATCGTACACAGCACTGAGAAGATGGTAGTGTTTTTGGGGCTGCAGACATTGGGAGCTCTGTGGCTCAACCATCGGACACAGGAGGAGTAACCCAGCCATATTTCTCGTGCGTCTTCACCAAACTTTTAAACGTTGCTTCTGCTTCTTTGCGGGTGAAGGATTTCTTTGTCTTCCCCAGTTTCCTGCAGATTCGTCCCTGTGTCAGATAAAAGAAGCACAGTATCTAATGAAAGAACATTTTTACATCAAACGGCAAATCAATAAAGTAATTATTGTCAAGTTTAATGACTGTTTCTGTAGGCAAATATGGCAGCTATTTTACAACAGCCATGGGATAAATGATAAGGAGAACTGTTGGTTGGAGGAGGAGAGATAGGGAAGGAGAGGAAAGTGAGATGTGGGGAAAGATAGGGAGGGGGGGAGAGAGGGGGGAGAGAGAGAGAGGAGAGGGGGAAGAGAGAGAGGGGGAAGAGAGAAGGGGGAGAGAGTGTATACATGTGAGAGGTAAGAATGTGGGAGTGAAAGAGAGACTATGAGAGTGATTGAGAGAGGGAGAGAGAGCAGAGCGATTGAGAGAGGGTGGGAGAGGGGGAGAGTGTAAGAGGTGGAGAGAGAGAGTTTGAGGTGGGAGGGAGTGAATGTGAGGGAAAGAAAGAAACAGAGAGGCGGGTGATTGAGATAGGGTGATTGAGAGGGTGACTGAGATAAAGTTTGAGAGGGGATAGAGAGAGTGTGTGTGGGAGAGTGTGTGCGAGAGAGAAGGAGAGAGAGGGAAGAGAGAAAGAGAAGGGGAGAGAGAGTGATTGAGAGGGGGAGATGGAGTGTGAGAAGGGAGATATGGAATGTGAAAGGGAAGAGTGTGTGAGAAGGGGAGTGAGAGAGAGAGTGCGTGAGAGAGAGGGCGGTGAGGAGAGAGTGTCCTCCCCCTCCCTCTCTCTGTCCCCCTCCCCCTTCTTTCTCTCCCCCTCCCTCTACGCTCTCTCCCCCCTCCTCTCTCCCTCTCCTCTCTCTCCCTTCTCCTCTTCCCCGCTCCTCTCCTCTTTCTCCCCCCTCCCCTCTCAGCTTGCTCCCGCTCCTCCCTTTCCCCTGCCTCTCTTCCCCCCCCTCCTCCCTCTACCCCCTCCTCTCTCTACCCCTCTCTCTCTCTCTCTCCCCTATTCCCCCTGTCTCAATCCCTGTCTCTTGCAATCTCTCTCCCAAGTGCGGGTCACTATCTGCAGTGGCAGGAACCAGCTGTTGGTTGCTAAGGACACGGTTGGTAAGAGACACGCTTGCCTTCCTGACAGACTGCAGTAAAGGCCCAACCACCAGCTCCTGTCGCTGCCCTGGGAGGACGTTCACCAGGGAGGGAGGGAGTGGAAGTTGGAATGGTGGCAATGGTCTCGGGCCAAATGCAGCCCGTGAACCTTTCCTAAGTAGGGAATGCAGCCCACGGCAGCCAAAAAGTTGGATCTCCTTGGCCTAACCGATGAGACCCGAAATATAACTCAATATGCTGAGACAGAATTTCTTACTCTACACTAGAACAGAGATAATCTCCAAAGCTTCGCAAAAAATATTTTGCAAATAAACAAAATTTTCTCCAACGATAATTTGTAAAGCTACCAGTCCTTAAATAATTCTGTTTTCAAACTTGTGGCAGGATAAATATTGTGCTGTCCTGTGTAGTGTTTCTAAAATGTCATCTACAACTATACATGACAGATCACAATGAGAACAAGCAACAAACACGAAAGAGTTTAGTTTGTGTTGCTCATTGCACAGAACTTGGATGCTAATCACATATTAGGATGTTTCAAGTACTTTGAGATGTCCTACCATTGTGAAAAAAACGTATCGTAACATAACATAACATGTAGGAGAAGGAATAGGCCATTCGGCCCTTCGAGCCTGCCCTGCCATTCAATCATGGCTAATCTTCTAATCTAACTCCAGCTAATAACCTGACCCTGCCTTAGCCCCATATTCCTTAATCCCTTTTGCAATAAGACATCTATCTATCTCAGTCTTGAATATGTTCAAGGACTGAGCGTCAACAGCCCTTTGGGATAGTGAGTGCCATACATTCACCACCCTTTGAGTGAAGAAATTCTTCCTCAACTCAGTGCGAAAGGGCTGACCTCTGATTTTAAGGTTGTGACCCCTGGTTTTAGTTTCTCCAACCAGGGGAAACAATCTCCCACTATCTACTCTATCATGCCCTTTGATGATCTTATAGGTTTCTATAAGATCCCCTCTAATTCTTCTATATTCTAGAGAATATAGGCCCAAATTGGTCAGCCTATCCTCGTAACTCATCCCCTTCATCCCTGGTACAAACCCAGTAAATCTACGCTACACCCCCTCCAAGGCAAGTACATCCTTCCTTGAATAAGGAGACCAAAACTGCACACAGTATTCCAGGTGTGGTCTCACCAGGGCCCTATACAGTTGCAGCAAGACTTCCCTACTCTTATACTCTAATGCTTTCATAATGAATGCTAACATACCGTTCGCCTTCCTAATTGCTGCTACACCTGCAGACTAACTTTCCGTGATTGGTGTGCAATCAATGGCGCTATATAAATGTAAATTATATTGTATTTGAAGGTAAACTTATAGTATTTTAGCAACTGAGTTGGATATGGACTTTAGTTAAACAATGAGAACTAGTACAGCCAATATTCAGGACTGCTGAGAAGGTGACGAAAGAACCATTTTATGGTAAACTTAGCGTCCATCTCCATAGGCAGGAAGAACAGCACACAGGTTGGGTCACTAAGAATTGACTTCAAGAGCGAACTAGACAAACATCTTAAGAAGAGTCAGCTACAGGGGTGAAGGGAAAGGGCAGGTAAATGGGCCTAAAAAAATTGTTCTTCAGGGAGCGGACACAGACATGATGGGCTGAATGACCTTTTTCTGTGCCATAAATAACAATGGTTCTATGGGTTTAATTGGGTATGCTCTCCAAGATACTATCCTGTGCGAAGGGAGCTACATAAAGGCAACTTGTTGTTGTTGTTGTCATCCCTGCTGACTTCATGTTTCTTTTGTGGTATTTTGCAGTTTATTTTGAGTCTCTAATTATTGATAAGTTGACCAATTCTGTATTGCGATGCTCCCATTCTAATCTGCCACCACTCAGACCAATACATTTACCAAATAGAAGAGAATAAGACGTGCTCATTCGCTTGCCTGCCCACCAAGTCAGTCAAAGGGTCCACTGATCAGGGAGTCACTCACTAAGGAGTCTGGCAATACACTAGGTCAGAACATTGCATGCTTGATTTTATTCATCCAGAATTATTAAAAGACCCCAGTAATAATTATTTTTTAAAAAAAACTCCATTAGCACCACTCTCTCCCTTCCTACAGACTGCAAAGGGCCTACATGACATGGCTTTTACCTTATTTTCATATTATTAACAATAGAATAGTGATTCAACTGCCAAGGTAAATGCTAAAATGTCAAATTATTACAGTATTAAATGGAATACAGATGACTGCTTCAGTCACTCTGCAATCCTGTCAAGCCTGTCATATTGTTATGCTGGTAATTCTACAGAGTGTGCTTATACCCATCTCCAGTCTAATCCTGTCTGCTGGGTTGTATGTGATTGACTCACTGTCACCTCTGTTACTGTATGACCTACAGGCGAATAGAGGCTGCAGGATTGAGGATACAATATTACAAACAGTTAGAAATACAAATTCTTTTTAAAAAACAAGAATGCAATATTTCTTAACGGAATCACCATAAAATTGACCCTATTATTTTGGAAGGGGTCGGGGGGGGGTTAACATTTCATTTTTTGAACACAAATGCCATTCACTTAAATATATTCTATTCTTAGTGATGTTCTGTATTCCTGGGGGATGTCAGTGAAACAATTCCTGGCAAGCATTGTTAGTGTAGAAACATCCAGGTCAGGTGTAGCATGCACAGATACAGAGAAAAGCTCTCGGGCTGAAATACCGGACTGGGTTAGGTGATTATAACAGGAAGCTTTAGTGGCTGACAATGCTAAAGACGCTATGCATAATGCCGACTGGCATTTTGGTCCAAATGTGCTTTGATCCCATCAAGAAAACAACACCCCACAATTGCTCCTAACCTATGGATCTGAGTGAGATGATTCATTTGTGCATATATATGGTCTGTCTGGGATGTGCACTTGTACTACTGGCCAGGTCCAGCATGGCCAGATATGTTTACAATCATCAGAAAAGAGGAGACTATCATTTCATGGATCTAGAGCTTGGGGTGGGGGGTTGGCTGGTCACCCAGGAGGGTAGAGCACTAGAGTGCTATGCAGTCACAGTACACAGACTGATCACTACACAATGGAGTTCCAGATCTTGGCACGCACATGAGAGAGAAGAACAGATTCATGCTCTCCAGTCCAAGATCTTGTCTCAAACATGGGTAGCTTTTCCTCTTGGCAACCTAACAACTGTTCATCCATATGGAGTGTGAACATACATTATGCAACTATTCAGGACCTTTATTTAAACATTTGTACCCTTTATCTCTTGCTCTTGATGTGCCTATTATATCTAGTTATTTGTCAATCATTGTAATGGATCAGTCTTAAACAAAATTATATGCACCCTAACCACTGTCCCTATAAGATAGACTACATTGCATTGTATCTGGTCGTGGGGCAGCCTAATGCCATGAGCAGAAGTTAAGCTCCTGCAAGTTAAATTTAGAATCAAACACATTTTAAGTGCTTGGAATAAAAGTACTTTGCTAGAAATGATAGTTGCTTTTAGCAATGATTAGCTCTGCCATCTGCTGATAATTCACCTTTATGAACCCATCCAAAATCTGTTATAGAAACAGGTAATTTACCCCAGGGTATGATATTCTCCTCATGCTAACTAACACCACAAGATTTTTTAAGGGATCACATAAAGCAGATTAGCATGGTACCTAGCTATGCAAAGAAGTACTGAACGCCCTTCCCAAATATAGGAGCAGTATTCTAGAATTGAGGAATTGGAGAGTGAGGCTGAGGGTATCTGGGCCAAGAATGTGTAAGTGCTGCCAGAACCAAGCAAGAAGATTTCAGTCTTGTTGATGTTCACCTGCAGAATGTTGACGTATCGATGTCAGATAGCAGTCAGTCAGAACAATAACATTCTTGGTATTGAGTAAAGCGAGAGAGCTAGGGTAGGGCATCATAAACATGCATATGGAAGCTAACCCAA